TTCTTGTGTGCTTCTTTGACCTGAACCAATTTTTAGACCTAGAATCCATTAAGAGAAGAGATATCTGGGTCCCTAGGAAAAAAGAAACCTGTAATGCTTGTATACTGTGGCGATACCTTTAGGCTTCTCTAAAGAGATCTTTGGGCAGGAATTCTTCAGGTCAACTCTGAACTCAGCTTTCAGAAGGATTTTTCTTTTGGTTTAATGCTCTATTGCCACCAGATTATGATACTTATTTCAAGCTCTTTGAATAGGAGCCCACATCTTCATTGGTACTGGACGCTGCAAATTGTATAGCTACTCTTGTCTATAGTTATTGAGCTGGGTGACTACACTGGGTATGGATGGTCTGAGTTGACACTGATAGCAGAAACACTAAATGTAATCATGGGTATGTCCTGGGAGACAGCTAACACCATCCATGATATAAATGAAATCCTGATTAAAACCTAACTTATAGTGGGTCTATTGTGTCTGGGGAACCAGACAGCGATTATTTTCCGGTCCCCAGTCACTCAATTGGAAATAATATACTAGGCAGTTACAAAGCTACTCATTCTGTGTTTTTAACTTGTGGCGTAGGAGCTATCAGAATGGGAAAGACCAATAGAAACTCTGCATCTGCCCTCTAGTCATTCAGCCAGGGGAGTAAATAAAAAGTAGTATCATCTTTCAGAAAGGATAATGGATATTAGTGTTATTAAATAGTATAAAGGATGTGAAACAATGGTAAGAGGAGTATCATTATTATATCTCTGCTGGATATCCCAGTAGGTCCTGGAAGAACTCAAATGGATCCTAAAATCTAGTTATAGAATTTTCCAACTCAGTCAAGTAATAGTCTGACAGCAGCTTCCATGGGGAGATAGTATTGATTGACAATGACTCATGCACATGATATGTAGCTATTAGTTTAGTGAATGTACTCTTGTTTTGACGATAAAGGAGGATGAGGAATACTACACATTCATATGGGACATCTAACCATGTTCATTTACATTTGGCCTCAGGGCTGCTATCTCCTTACTCTTTACTATATTGTAGACTGTAGATATGTGGGCTGTTTGGTCAACTCACAGAACATCACACTATATGTTATCTTACATCAATAGCATCATGATGATGGGGCAAGACAACAGCATGTGGCTAATGTGGAGGAATTCTTGAAAAGACACATGTGTCGCACAGGATATGAGAAACATGTCATGAAGATTCAGACTGAATCTTCGGTTAAGTCATGGGATCCATTTGTCAGTAGACTGGAAGAATATTTTTTTCCAGGGCAAAAGAAAAATGGCTTTGTTTTGCACCCCACCACCACCACCACCACAAAGAATGAAGCAAAGAGGCTCATATCTATTTTTGAGCTCTAGAAGCAACACATCCCATGCCTAAGAATGGTCTTCTGGCCCATATATTGGGTGACAAGGAAAGATTCAGGTGTCTTGTGGAAAATGATACAGTGTGAAGCTTAAAGTAAGCCCAGGTGGGGGAATCACAGTGCAGCCCCTGAAATTCTAAGTAAGTCCAAGCCAACTACTATATAGAAAATAATACAGCTACAGTAGCATTGGAAACTTAATAAAGAAGACTAAAAGACCATATGTCTAGAATTGCCTATCATAAGCTGGGTTATTTCAGTTCTTCCACATCATAACTTCAGCCCAGCATCAATCAATCAGCCAAAGGACGAAAATGATACACTCAGGTTGAACACAAGCAGGACCAAAGCTCGAGCTACTGCCTGAGCAGTGACCCAGCTGTCTTTGCTAACCTCAGCAATTCTACCAGTAGTCCTCTCTGCTGTGCACCTAAAATCAGATGGAGGAGGTAGAGAAAGCCTATCCATACTCTTCCGCCAAAGAAAGACAGCCAGATCTGTGCAGAACAAGTTGGGTTTATAATTTATGACAGCAAGAAAGAAAGTACATCATGAAGATTCATGGACTATTGCAATAAGATGTTAGAAATGAATTTTATAGGATTTGGTTTTATACGAGCTTATTTTGGAAAGAGTTCAAGGAATTAGTTTTTCTGTATACTTCATGCTGTCAAAAAAAACAGCACAATTCTATCACTGGGTATCTTATAAGTTAGTTGAGATGGGGAATGTGTGGTCCTTTTGGTGGTGCTTTAGCAACATTAATTCCTTATACTGTGTTAGTAAGTGATAACAAACTTGTCTTGATCCATCCTAATGATGGAGAGGACTTGTCTGATGTTAATTCTGTCAAACTGTGTTCATGTTCAATAAAAGGACCCTGAAGCCTCACTGTGAATTCCAGGACAACTTCTGCAACCCCAGCCCTATCTGATCAACCTGACAGTTAACACGTGGTACAAAAATCCTCCCACTCCACCTCCACTCAGGTACATCCATGCTGTGGACCTCCTTGTCTCCAATCTTTCCAACCCTTTCCTTTTTGTCCCCTGATAATATAATAGACCACTGGTCAGTGCCAGGCATCTGTTTATTATTTTATCACCCCAGGCCATTTTTCCTTCCTTACTAGCTGAGTGGCCAAGTTTACTATGAGCAAATAGTGCCATACCATTCAGTTAGGGCCTGCCCTTCCCTTCTGAACTTCAGATTGGTATACAGATGGGTTGGTTCGGTAAGAGATGAAGGCTTAAAAAGGACACAGTAACCTTCAGGTGTCGTTTGAGAATGACACCAAAAGGCACCAGAGAGAAAAATCTTCCTGAAGGGTAGATTTGCCAATAGTGAACCTGGTCATCCAGTAATATATAGAAAGAGAAGGAAGGAGTCCCGTGAAGAGTGAAGGGAGAAGCATACGAGGTGGAAGGAACAGGCAGAGAAAGCGTAGGAGTGTTCACAGGAGTGGAAGAAGACAGCGCAGTGGGTCAGAGCCAGTGAGAGGGAAAGAGCACAAGAGGAGACTGACTTGTTCAGGAGCCAGTTTATATCAGATTTTTTTTTTTTCTAAACAGTGATGGGAAATTTTTGAAAGGCTTTACTCAAGGATGTGATCTGACTCAATTAATGCTTTAAAAACACTACTCTGGCTTGCCTGAGCAAAACAAGATGATCAGTTAGGAAGTTACCACAATCATCCTTTGGATAAATAACAATGGAAATTGGGACAGGACCCGACCTACTCTGTGAACGGGTTGCATTGTCTGTCCCTGAGTGAGGAGTCACTGTGTGGGAGGATGACACAGCCTTTGTCTCACAGCTGGTATTCTGGTGTCTGACATCAAGCATGGTAAACCTACAGTGCAGTGGGATCAGGGAGGGGTTAATAGTCAAAGATTACCCTCTGTGCTACACCCCTGAAATATCTGCCTTCACATCATCTCTTTTAAAAACCAACTTCTTTAGTCAAATTCTGGTTAAACGTTCTCCGCATGAGCCTCTGTCCCTAATCCAACACGGAAGTAAAGCAAGAGAACCAAAATGGTGGAGGGAAATTAAATTCCTGTGTGCACAGAATTTCTTACAAAGTGATGGAAATGATGACAAAAGAAAGGAGTTCGGTCCCCACTTAGTCTTGCTGGACCAGCAGAGCTGTCTGGGATGCTGTTAGTACCACGCAGCACTTCCTAAAGCACCAGAGACTTCAAGAACACTGGTTAGGCCTGGATGTAGTGCACTGGATTACTCTTCTAAGAAGCCATCAGTGGGTGGTAATGACATGCTCACTCGTTATAACTTACTTCTTATTTATGCCCTATTAAGGGTGTCAACACATTGAACGTTATTCTTTTCCAAGAGAAAGAAGGAAAAGCATTCATTTAAATACACTGAGCTCAAAGTTTGTTTTATATCATGTGAAACACATCTGCTAATTATGAGTGGAAAGCCATCTAAAAGAGGCTTTAATAGCTTGGAAACACTCCAAATGCCCATCGACTGGAAACTGGATAAAGAAGATGTGGTTTTTTTATAAAATGGAGTACTACTCAGCCATAAAGAATGAGAAACTAGAGAAATTTATAGCTAAATGGATGCATATTGAGGCCATACTCTTAAGTGAAATAAATAGGACACACGTGTAAATATCGAATAGTTTCTCTAGTGTGAGAAACTGAAAGTGTAAATAAGGATGAAAATGATTAAAATGAATAATTGATAATTTGAAATAGGAAAAGGTCCAAGGGTTTGGGGATGGTGGGAGGGGAAGGGGAAAGGGAAGAAGGGAAAGGAAAAATTATGAGAAAGAAAAAAAAAAGGAATCAAAGTCTGTGTAAATAGGAAAGGGTGGAGGGGCAGGTAATGGGAGAAAAAATAAGAACTAAGATACATCATGTTCTGGTACAAACACCCAATGATAAATGTTTTTTTTTTTTTTATACCTAAAATGTACCAATAAGTATATTAAAAAAATAAATAAAAGAGGCCTTAAGAAGTTAACAAAAATTAAACTAAAGTGATTTCTTATTTATAGATTGTATTTTATTTCAGAAATTTGCCCTTAGTGGTTATAAATTCAGAAAATAAGAGAACTCAGTAGTATAATCTGCCTGGTGGTGACTTGACTGAGAAGGGCAAAAGAATTTATTATATGAAGTTAGAGCATTTCTTCTAGAATTCTAAGATTGATTTTTCATTGTACTCATTCTTTAAGTTTATCTTTGATGGCTGGAGATGGAGCTCAATAGTACTGTGGTTGGCTAGTACGATGAGACCCTGGGTTTGTTCAACAGGATGTAAAAATGAATAAATAAATCTTGAAGGGAAGACTGGAGTTAGAAGGTTGTAAAACTTTGAACATTTACTCTTTTGACTTTACTATTGTAGTGTTGTGACTGTGGGTTCTAGGTGAAGACATTAAAATAAGAATGTATGACCTTATAGATTGGACCTCTAGCTTAGAGTAAAAAAAATGACAAAAAAATCTTCAGGTACAATTTATGTAAATAACTGATAGTATATTTGAACCATTCCTTCCTTAAATTTGTTTGGAAATTTACAAAACGAACAAGTCAAGTTCATTCAACAACCCCAAAAATCAAATATGTAGACATTTCTATATCACCTGCACTTTGTGAAACTTGGATCCATTATACTCTAACCTCCTGCTCATTGCTTCGTCTCTGTATTTCTGGCTGTAAAAGAAACCACAGGTAAGCATGTGTTCAAGGATCCAGACCCATGAGTTGAATTAATCACCAGAAAAGTCATTTTTAGAGCTCTGATGACATGAACTGGATGGATGAAAGTAATGATCTACAGTTTTGACACAGATTTTATCCAAGGCCTTAAATTTTATTTATTTATTTATGTTTTGGGTACTGGGGATCGAACTCAGGACTTTGCACTTATGAGGCAGACACCACTGAGCTTAATCCCTGGCTGCATGGCCTTAAATTTGTATCAGTCTCTTCACCAGGCTGTGACATCTTACTCCTGATATATAACACATGCATACCCACACTCCAACACATTCCACACACAGATCTTTTTTAGAAATCATTTATTAGCAACTGAAATTGATTACCTCCATAAACTATTTTATTTTTAAAAAGTCAAGTTACTTAAACTCATAATATAAAGATTTGTTCCTTTTTTATTTGTTCTAATCAGAGATCTTTTATATTGAACAAGGTAAGACTTTCTCTTTTTATAAGGGCTAACCCTCCAAAAATCTACTGAATTTTATTTTGAGTCAAATAAAATTCTGAATTTTTACCACTTTGTCACCAAATAATAGAATATTAAAATCTTTAATTTCCTGTAGTACTCAATAATTTTTTATGTGCATCCTAAGAGTTACATAAATATATTGAAGTAAAAACTTATAATCTTATAATGGCTATACACTATATTTTGGTATTTCTTTCTGACTTTTCTTCAAAAGCATACAAATTTTTATACATGCATGATGTAATAAAAATTATGGTAAATAATTAAAACTAGAAATTATTACAATAAAAGACACATTGCCATTAATCTGCCTTAAAAATCTCTTGCTCTACTTAGCACATGTATGCAATCACTTTTGCCACATTCTGAAGGGGTCTTAGAAGTCCTTTTCCATGTCTTTCATCATGTAGTTTTGACTATCTTGATATCCCAAATCAATTCAAAATGTTTGTGGCAAATTTTGTCAAATAAAATTATCATGGTGTGTCCTTATCCTCTTTATTCACTGATCTGGCACTGTCCAATTTCTAGCTCTTCCCCCAGATTAAAATAACCAAGTTCCACATAACTGTGGAGATGAGGCATGTTTCTTGCAGACAAAATATGGGTGAGTCTTATTTTTTGACCTAGTCCGTCAATCTGCATCTTTTAACTGGAGACCATTTATATTGTTATTATAGAAAGTTGTGTGCTAGTTCCTGTTACTTTGTTGTTTTTCTGGTGCTTGGTGCATTTCTGTTATTCCTTCATTAATCTTCTCACCCAGTGAACAAGCTCTTTCCCTTTCTCATGCAGTTGCTTTCTTCTTGGTCTGAGTTTAGTATTCTCATACGTATTTTCTTCAGTTCTGGTTTGGAGGTCATGAAGTAATTTAGTTTATACGCCTCATGGAAGGTCTTTATTTCCACTTTGATCTGAAGGATAGCTTTGTAGGATATAGTAATCTAGCCCGGCAATTATTTTCTTTCAGAGTTTGAAAAACATAGTTCTAAAACTTCCAGAATTTGAAGGCTTCTATTGAGAAATTTGCTGTTATTCTGACGGGTTTGCATTTGTAGGTGATTTGAGACTTCTAGTCAACAGCTTTTATTGTTTTTTTCTTGGTTGTGAATTTCTGACAGTTTGACTGTGACTTCTCTTGGAGAGTTTCTTTGCTGGTTCATATATATTTGAAGTTCTAAATGCTTTCTTTACCTGGCTATCCATCTCATTGCCCCCTTTTGGGAAATTTCCTTCCATAATTTAAATAAATAGATTTTTTTAAAGCCACTAGCCTCTATTTCAACGCCTTCTTCCAAACCAATAAACCCTAACGTTTTTTCTTTTATCTCATTCATTGGTATGTGTTCACAGTACGTAATGATTACATTTAGCATGTGGAGTTGGTACAGGTACACAATCCACCTGAATTCTTCTTTTCTTGCATCCTCAACCCCTCAATCCTTGCTCTCTCCAACTCCCAGGAACTTTTACATAGTGCTTTCTGTGTTTCTTATTCTCTTTCTTCCTTAACTGGATGGGTAGGAGATGAGAAAGAAGAGCTGGATCAAATTTTGAGAATAGGTAAGAGCTAAATGGTAGGCAGACTTCCGTAATCACCCCTCTGCCAAACATGCTAGGCTTGCTAGCTTCTCTTATGTACCTTGTCATCTAGGATTACTTTTTTTATTTTACAAGTGAAAAATTGGAAACTTAGATTAAGTTAAAAAAAAAAAAGGAAAATTGTTTTGTTAGAGATCATGGCACAAGGAAGTTGCAGATCTAAAATTCAGACAGAAGACTGAGTCCAAACCCCAAGTTCTTCCCCAAAATAGTAAAGATATTTTGCCTTCTTTATTAATTCTTTCTTGAAGAAAAATAGATTTGGTTTTTTTTTTCCCCAATGGTGTACTGCTGACCATATCATTTAATGTTCATTATCGGTAGGGGCTTGGATGAAGTGTTAACATTTGGGGCTGATACTAGAAAGGGGGATGACTTTTTATTGTTTTGTTTTTTATTTCTTTTCATTTTTTTCTACTAGAAGAATAAAAATGTGCAACTTGGAGTGATGTATACACTTTGTATAGTAAAAACATAGTTTAACCTTTAAAGGAAAAACACAGCAAAATGCTGAAACAAATTGCTGGGTAGGAAAAAAATATTGTATGACTCCAGGACTGCGCTTCTTTGTGATCCTGAAGACAATAACATCTAGGGCAGAATAAAATTCCACACATTCTGCTTGATGCTCACATAGGGTGTACAATGGTTTATGGCCGAGGAAAGCAGAAATCAGTTTGAGCCACCAATGTCTTACCTCAATGTCCCTTGACATTTGTACGAGCCAAATAAAATGAATGCTCCAGAGAGGGAACTCTTCTGCTCCCCGTGTTCCTAAGCATAAGTAAAATTAGTAAGAGTGTGTTTACTACAGTGGAAGTCAATGTAATGAAAAACTCAAGAAAAAAAGGAGGGAGAGGAAGAGAAACAAGAGGAGAGTGGGATAAAGAAGAGCCCAATAAGAAGAAAATAGAACCTGAAGGTGCATGTGTATCATGTAACTCAGCTTATTCACCTTTCAGGTTAAGAAAGAGAGGCCCAAAGAGGGGCAATGGCCAGCATTAGAGCACACAGGCGCTGAGACCACAGCCATGGACATTGAGCCCAATGTTGGTTCTACTGCTGCATTTCTGATTATGTAGAGAGAAGAGAAATATACCTGTAGCATTTTAGGAATCTACATGTGTGCCTGACCCACCATATAACTGACATAACCGAGCCCTAAGTAAAAGAAATTCTGTTCTTTTACTTGTCATGTCCATCCTGCAGAACTTATTTACTAGGGCAGCAGAAATGTTTATAAATGGATCCTTAACTCCAGAGGATATCTATGGTAGCACACTAGCTCTGCACTATTAAAGTGAAGCATGTGCCTCTATTTTAAGAATAAATGCTCATTATTAAATAGCAGTCTCTATGGGCTATATAATTTAATACGGGGCAATCCAGAATTTGCAAACGGAACTTTGGGTACAAAAAGTGTGTGAGATCAGTCTCATGATGTAACAGTCATTCCCTGGAGCCCACAGAACAGACTTAAATGTGCAGTTAAAGAGAACTAATATTTTCTGGCTTGGTTACATCCCTGGCTGCACAAGGTGATTTTACTGTGCATTATACTTTAATTATAACTGTGCTCTAGCCATCTGCTCCATTTCATTCCCTAATTATAGATGCAAAAAGCATTTCACAACTCCCACCCATAAAAAAGATCTGAAGGATTTCATGGCAGGCTTGCTCTGAGCTCCTTGCTCCTTTCTTGGCCTGTGGACTCTCCCTTCATCAGTACATCTAAACCGACCAAGAAAATGTTTGCGATGCCCTGATCATTCCAGAAGGTCTGAGGTGCCTGAGCTTGTTCTATCGATTAATAATTCTCGTCTACCACGATTATAGCCACTTTGGCCAGCTCTTCCTATGCTTGGGTCATATACAACTTCCGGTTCACCCACATTTTTCTACTGTCATTTCCTGTGCCATTTAAAAATTAGTCCTTTTGGGCCGGGGATTTAGCTCAGTGGTTCCGGCGCCTGCCTCGCAAGCGCAAAGTCCAGAGGTCAATCCCCGGTACCAAATAAATAAATAAATAAATAAATACAAATAAATAAATAAAAATTAGTCATTTTATTTTATTTACAGTATTACTTCAAGCTTTTCTCTAACTCCTGAAAATTTTGTGAGGAAGCCATCCTCATTTTTCTGTGGAGAGGAGGAATTCTGAGAGTTTAAAGACTTTCTGAAGGTGAATCAGTTGTAGAATCAGGATGGAAGCCCTATTAGCATTGATTCTCATACTTTTCCACTTTTTTTCATGCATTATTTGGAAATGTTACTCAAATGCCCATTGGGATAGCAGAGGTGTACTTGATCCAATTGTGGGTACTTCTTTCCAACCCCATGCCAAGGAGTTCATATTGATAGGCTGAAGTTGTCCACAGTATGATGGATGTATGAAATGGACACACACTACAAATCAGAGCTTTCCTTACTTCCCCAGGAGACAGCTGCTAATAACTTAGTAGAATGCCACTGATACGGGAAACAGATTTTATGCATTCTCCCCAAAATAATATATTTGGGGCACAGTGCCCTCTTCATTTCTGAACTTGAGTAATGTATGGATACAATTCAGGAATGAGAAAAAGTTGTTATTTAACTAAACAAGATGTTCTTTCAATATCCTAAAGATAAGATACATACCTGAGGGCACGAGGGTTCTTTCTCCTAAAGGAAAACTCAGAATTTTCTAATGAATATTTGGGCTTAAAAAGTTTCTATGATTTAAAAAGCATTGTGCAAAATTCCAAATTCAGAAGTCTAGAGAAACTGAAGTTGATGTACAGCAGTTCCAAAGCAGGGAGTTCCAGGAGACAACCAGTTCTTACCATCCAAGTTCACTCCAAACAGACACTGGTATATG